AATATTGAAAAGAAAAATAAAATATCTGAAATTGACAGTACGAATGAAACAATCAGAAATTGTATTTTGTATTCTATAAAGCGTCGAGGAAGAGAAGAAATTGCGTTGCGCAAAGGATTAACTTTGCAAGAAGAACAAAATGCAATATTGAATTCGAAATTTTTTTTTTTTTTCTCCCCTCTGGAATTGTTACCAGAGGTGTTTCAATATTGGGAGGAGGGAAGGGAGGGGGAAGTAGAACAAAAAAAAAAATAAAATATTTAAAATTGATGGTTTGAATGCAATAGTTAGGAACGGTAGTTGAATTTTCCACGCCACGGGAATTCCGGTTTCCTCTGTTCAAACAAGTAATCCTTTGCATTTCGGGCGAATCGTGTATATATATATATATATATATATATATATATGCACGTATGTTTTTGCACGTCCCCCTTTCTAATCTTGCTCGGCCTGAAATTTATTTTCGAAGGATTTATCTGTCTTCGACTAAGTAAACCCATTTGCATTTCAAATATCACCCTTGATTCGCTTCCTGTGCTTCCGCGTCTCTTCCCTTCTTCTCTCCAAATTTATCAGCAAAATCCCACGTATAACATTTGTTTCATTTAACTCTTTTCTCGTCGCTTTGATCCATTCGATGAAATCTTTGATCCATTGTGAAATTAAGACGTGCAATTAGGCTCGAGCATTCTCAATTTCAATTAAATCGTGTCTTCAATCGAGTTAATCAATCTATGATCTGACGTACTCCATCAATCGCATATAATTGCTATATTTTATATTCTGTATTATATTTATAATTATATTATATCTATAATTTATATTCTGTAGAAATGCTTGTGCCATTCAATCGTTCTTAACACGAGCACAAGTAGCTTATAATATAGTACTTATAACATTTGTTGCATCTATTTAAACTTCCCGCCATATGTATAAAAATAAAATATATTTCTATTACAATCATCAGATTACATTCAAATGTATATAACGCTTAAAAAGAGTTGCACGATCTTATTCGTTCTCATTCAATATGTGTAGATAAATACACTAGAAAATATGATAATTTTCTTATAAGAAAACAACCGTCGACAATTTCATCGAAAATTGTATGAAATATATTTAATACTCGAATGAGTTTATGATACCTCCAATATGGTCATCTTCATCCAGTATTGAAAAAAAAAAAAAAAGAAAAAAGAAGAGCGTTCTGACGAACAATTACGAACATTGTCTCTCGTACAGAAACGAAAACGGATGCACGGCCGTAAGAGGAATCGGCACGGTTGCAAACGAGCACGAGCACACATCCTACCTTTACACGGAGAATAGTGGCGTTCTAGCTTTTGGCTCCAGCGTTGTCACAGCCATAAAACAATGCCGAGATAATAGCGGGTTTACCCGTGTGCCTTCGAGCGTCTTGAAGCTAACAACCTCGCGGCCATTTTTGAATCCGAGTTGATCTCATTTCTTTCTTTTCTTTTTCCCCTCCTCTTCTCTCTTTTTTGCCTATTTCTCTCTCACTCTCTCTCTCTCTCTCCCTCTTTCATAACCAACCTTGCAGCATATCATCTCGAAAGGGTTATCTGGAAAGGGTGGAAGGAGTATATAGGTCATTCCAGGTGAAACGAGCGAACTCATCGAACTCATTGGCGCACTGAAGAAACCGATCATTGAAACTGATGTTCGAACGCTATTTCTAGAGCTATTTCTTTTTTTTTTTTTTCTTTCTTTCTTTCTTTGTGGAACGAGATACGTAATACGGAGAGATTTATTTATTGAGCTGATTGAAGAGTGTGATCGATATTTCGGTAGCTAATTTTGTTGGTTCGAAAAATGGTTTAAACGGTTTAGGCGTTTGATTTTGAAGATAAACTGGTTTCGTTCGGGGTAGATTTAACCCCGGTGGGTTATTGAGAATAGCAGATGCGAAGAAGGGGATTTTGAAACGAAAGTTTTACTGGAATCAGGAAATGAAAGATATTAAATTTGGGATGAAACTAGAAAATCTATTGTGCGGCGCGTCACTTGTCAATTCATTCGAACTGTAATAATTCATCACGAGATTTAAAAAATTCCAATTGGATTAAATATTGGGGATTATTTAAGTAATTATTGAATATCGTTAATTATTTTGAAAAAATGGTATATATAAACTATATAACGCAATAATTACATTCGTTCTTTTATAAGCTATGCTTATAAATTATGTACCACGTGTACCACAAAATAATCTTTTCATAGAAATTTAAATTGCTCCGTCATTCATCGCGATTGATATAATAACGACGGAAATACCAATATAAGATATAATAGATGAAGAAAATTAGAATAACTGAAGCACTTTTTCAATCACAAAAGACCTTATTATCAATGTTTCAATATCTGTCAATCATATGTACGAACTTCAAACTCTGTGCAATGTAATACTTGAAAGAGGCCCTCCACAATCCGATCACGCGACACTTTCAAGCACAATCGCAACTCTTATAACAAAACGAAATAAGGAAATAGAAAATTTAAATTTATTAGCAAGATCTCAATATCTCTTGCAATCAAAAATACACGTATAAAATCTCGTTCTATTATCCAATCTTACGATTCTCGACAACTGCAAAATTATCTTGTTAAGCAATATATTTCATCAATCAAAAATACCTTAAAAACGATCTTTAAACTCGTCTCATTATCCACTCTCCCGATCTTCAAACACGTGCAATCCCGTGCAACAACTCTGAGGACATTATCAACCGTGAACCCAATCGATCAATCGAAACCATTCCTCCGTGTATCGTAAACGAACCCCCTCAGTTTCTCCTAACAGAGGAGTCCAATTCTCTCTGTTAACGATCAAGTGGCCAAGACGCGAATTCGAACGTCTCTGCGAATTGCAGTTTTCTCATTAAAAAGAGCCTTTTTTCCAAATCATTGAAAAGAGATATCATTATCGATTTCGATGTCTCACGAAACGGAAGCGAACTCCTCGTTACGCGTTTTCCTGTAAGAGGGAGGGAGTGGAGAGGATCTCTCTGGGTGTGTTCTTTCAGGCCAACGATCCTTAATTAATCTGGAAATCGAATCTGGAAGAAGAGGAGGCGAGTGAATTCTCGAGCCGATAAGTCGAAATACTGGAGGATGGATTAACCAGGTTGGAGGAAGAGGGTGCAGGAAATCCTTTGGCTGGGATTTAGATTTCCCGTTTTCCACTGTTTACCGGCCGCTAAATTGTTCTCCTTTCCTTTCACCGATCTCTAATCGCTTTTATTCCGGCCAACCTGTTATCACAATTCTTCCCCTATCTTCGCGTGAATCACTTTCGACTCGGTGGTGGCGGAAATGAGGATGGTGGAGAGTGGAATATGTGGAAGGAAGGAAGAAGCACGGGTCGAGAATAGGTATTTAGAAGGGAGAATTTAAGGGGTGTGGTATTTGGAAGAGGATGGTAGGAGAAGAAGGTTATAGGGGAGGAAATTAATTTTTATTTTTTAGGAATTAATTAGTAATTCTTTATGTAGAAAAATATAAGTGAAGCAATATCTTTAACGCGAAGGAAGAAAGAAAGAATCGGAAAAGAGAATTGTGGAAGTGGAAATTAATTTTTTAAGGAAACTGATAGGGTAGCTTTTGCTCTGGTATATTTGAGATCTTGAAAAATAATGGAGAAAGAAAGAGGTAAGGAAAGGAGGAAAAGAATTTTATTGGTGAAACAGAAGAATAACTTTTTAAGAAATCAGATGAGAATTGTAAGTAGAAATTAGTTGATAAAGAAAGGAATAAAAGAGTAGTTTTAAAAGAGTCAAGTAAAAATTATTTAAATATTAATTAAAATATTAAGAGAGTAATAAGGAAAGATTATAATACTGTTTATTAATTTTAACGAAGCATAAATAATTATCATATTCTAGAATTAAATATTTTAAACATTAACAACAAAGTTTAGCGTGACTTTATGCTTATGGGAAACGATAAGATTGCAAAGCTTACTAAGAACTTTATTTTATGTTTCCACAATCCTTGGTATAAGATGTAGATAACCATGTTCCCCGTGTAAGTGTATTTAAGCAGTTAAATTAAACATTGAATGCATTAATGTTATGTAAAAGATTTAAAGCCTGTGATGATTATGATTGGAGGAATAGATAGGGGTTTACAGAAATAACTGAAGCTAGTAACCGATTATTTACATTGTGCATTACAATAAAGTAATATTTCATAGTCTGTTCATTACACGTTTCTCAATTTCACTTAACCCAGTTAACAAACATAAATAATAATGTAATACAATACATATATATGTATATCAAATTCTATATTTTCAATTACTCATTAGTTTTTTTACTTGATGAAAGAAGAAGAAGAAAAAAATTATCATTTTATACATTAAACGAAAGTCTTACCTGCATCGAATAAAAAAAAAGAGGGATTGCGAGATGAAAGAAGACAGAATCATTATGCCTGACGTTTCTCTTTATTGTTTGAAATGTATCATAACGATCAGATATGGATCATGTAAAATTACAATAAAACGTAAATATAACGAATCATTCGTGTATACATATACGTGTATATATATATATATATTTTTTATATACATATATTTATATATGTATATATGTATAAATTCTTGTACGCCATCAAAAAAGATGTCGTGAGACCACAAGGGGAAAAAAAAAACAAAAAAAAAAAAAAGTTAAATTATCCCGAACGAATTCATAAATATGAATCACTTCCTCGCCCCCATCGATTCAAATTTATGCCTTTCGTCTCTTCAAAATTCCAATCAATCCTCTCGATCATTTTTTTTCTTTTTTTCTTTTTTTAATACACACGTATATTCGTAAAACTATCGCGATCGCATAATCATAGTGATTGCGATCTCACCACCCAATCCCAAACAACTTTCCAACAACGAATTTTTTCCCCACCCCTTACTTTCACCGTGTTTATCCCCTACCCCATCCCCTTTATTTTAATCTCTCCTCTTAATTACACATCGTAAATCTAAATTCACAATCATACACTATGTACAAGTGTCGCGTCTCGCTTCAACGANTTTTTTTTTTTTTTTTTATCGATTTTTAAATTATATTGCTATTAGCGTCTCTCTTCTCTTTATCGAGCGACCATCGATACACCTTATAATTTATATTTTTATATAAATTACGTACTTTTATTTTTTCGAATATATACACGTCCACGCGTGCATCATCGACAGTTCAATGAACGTGTCTTCTGTGTGAGCAACGGAATTTCCACAATGGCAGTGAAGAATTTAAAAAAAAAAAGAAATTCCTTTTTTTTTTTTTTTTTGAGACTGATCACATGCCAGCATATTCGTTTAAAATAGCTACGAAATACGAATTGACGAAAGTTTTCTTTGATGGATATATAAAATGGAATGTTAAAGTAGTAAAGTAGGAAATGAAACGCTTTGTTTTTTCGGATTGATTATATATATATATATATAGAAGACGATGCGAGATGCAAATTATATATAAAATATTAATACGAGAATATCTGATATGAGCAATTTACAGCGGCAATGGAAAATTAAAAAAAAAAATTTATCCCGAGTTTAATCCGGACTTAAGATTAAATCGAACGGTTCGCTGTATTCGATAATTGAAAGGCTTAGTGGAGAGGGAACATTATCTTTTTATATTAATTACATTCGATATTTTATTATTTAAAAATATTAAAATCATATATATATATATACCCGATAAATATTCTTGCCTCTCTATCCTCTCAGAATAACAATATCGTAATGAATTGTTTTCATGCAAAATGAATACTTCTAGATTTTCAGATTTTCATTAATTATACGCAATTTATATATATATGTATATTTAATTTTATCACTAAGGCGAAGAGGCAAGAACACGCGCATTAATATCACAAATATCATTCTTAAAATAATTACAATTCATATACGAAAATAATTCCCCCTGAAATTCGTCTTTCCTTTATCCCTTTTCACCAAGTCCCCCTTTCATCCTGGCATGAATTCGACACGTGGCGAAATGATCCCAACGCGAAGCTTTCATCTGCGATTCGTTTCCGGTTAAACAAAATACAAAAGTGGCAAAATACCGTGATTGAACGATGGTAAGATCGCTAACAAACAGCAGATCGAGATCGACACGGGTTGGGCATCGATCGTTGAACCGGATCTGGGCGGTTCCTGCGCCAGTCGTTGATTGCTCGCGGCCAGTGTCGCGGTTTCCACCCTCTCGAGCGCCTTGTCGCCCCTGATCCTCGGCAACGTGGACTGACAGATGAGAGTTAATGTCCCTCCGGGGAAATGGTGCCGTTCCAATCGAAGAGTAAGGCCGAGATGAGTCGAGGACACGAGGCTGTCCTCCGTAGGGCTCGTGCTTGGCAATTCTCTGATCAACCCTTTGTTCACCTGTTGACGATAGAAGGCGAGAGTTAGCCGATCCCCCTCCCCCTCCAGTGAGTGAAATTTCATGCTAGATTAGGGGGATGAATGGGGGATCGAGATCGTGGATAATGGTCCTATAGCGTTTCGAGTGTTGGCGATAATGTCTTGGGTGAATGAAGGGATAATTTGGGGGATGAATTGGCTCGATGGATTTGTTCTGGATATCTTGTGACAAAAGTGATACGTTGATGAAGTGATATGTTTTCGATGATACGATTTTCTTCCTGGAGGGAAAGATATTCTTCGATATTAGTTGTATATTGTTATAAATAATCGTTGTGAATTGTGTCGTCTGTTAATTATATTTGATCAAATTATGGATCTCGTGGATCGAATAGAGATTGTTCGAAATAGAAGAATAGATTAATGAATAAATATTTTAAGTATTAAATTGATAGAAAGGGGATAACAATATCTCAATATTTCTACGAATGTATCACTTTTATCTATCCTGGACGAATTCAATTCAAGAATTCAGAATTTCTATTTATAATTTAATTTCTATTTATAATTTAGAAGAAATACAGAAACGTATGAAAAAAATCATAGTTACTTTAAGTAAGCACAGTAATGGTAGTGCACCGAAGAGAAGAGAAAAAAGTTAGAGCTTATTATACTGCTTGAAACGCCATCAAGATACCCAAGATCCTATCCGAGCATCTAAAATAACTTTCTCGACTCGAGTGGTTGGGGTGAATTTAATAGGGTGGCATTTTCGTCTGTTATTTTTAAGACGAAAACAGGAGCTGAGTGCACAGTAAGCAACTTTGAAAAAAGTATTTCTCGAGTATAAACTGACGGTTTTAATTTCTTCTACCTTTCACCCCCGAATAAGTTTTTGAAGAGTCTGAATAAAACGAGCGAGTAGTGGCGAGAACACTAAACGAGCATCTTTTAAACGATTCCCATAATTTTATATCCTTAGCCGGCGTTGAATTTGCAATTCAAAAGCATCTAGTCATTTTCCAAGAACTTTCCAAACTCTCGTTGTTTCATTTTGCCTCCGCTCACGACTCGGCCAATTTTCAAAATCACGAAACGATGAAATTTTCAAGAGTCTTGATTGAAATTAAAATTTCTTTTTTTCAAGATTTCGATCAAGTTTCTTTATTTTTTGTATATCATTAAATTGATCAAGAATTATATATATTGTTTCTCGAAAATGGATATGTTTTGAAGAAAATTTATTCTTTTAATTATCTTCTCAAGAATTGAAAATTATTTTTCTATCGTATAATTATCTTTGCAAAATAATTTAATAATAATAAAACTGTAAGGTAATATTTAAAGCAACCCAATATTCGATTATTTTCCCACGAAAAACAATTTCAGAAGAACGAATAACTTTTCATCTTCATAAAAAAAGATTTAATGTATTATTTTTTATCGAAACAAGGCAACATTCAATTCTCAGTTCAGAAATAACACACAAACACACATTCTCCACTGTTTTTCATTCGATACAATTTAATATTCATTATCGTTTTCGATTTAAAATAATTCCATTTGAATAAACACAGTTTTCATTACAACGATAAAAAATTCTACAATTTTATGAAACAATAAATCTTTAATCCAGATATATAGAAGACTTAACACATATATTATGGAAATTTTCCTCGGACAAAAATAAAAAAATATTTTAATGAAAAGAGGATACAGAATTGGAATAAATTTAATCATTCCATTTTTTATTTTTAAACGAATTCACGCAATCAAAAGACGTATGAGGGAAAAAAAATTATTTTCAATTCAATGATTTTTCAAAGAGAAACGATTTATAAATAATTTTATAACAATTATAACAATTATCATCGTTAAAAAATATTCAATTCCTTAATTTATGATATTCGACCAACTCTCAATTGAATTACTTAGATGAATTTACAATCAAAACAGATATAAAATGACAATTGATTTGTACAATTCTACATCACAATTAAACTAAAAAATCCAACCCCTAGAATTTACGAAGAAACTTAATTCACCCTCTAGAAATTAAAAAACAAAAATTCCAGACGAACAAATAAATCACTAGATTTATAATTTGAAAATTTTCATTCAATTTAAATCGACAACGCGATTTTTCATAAAATTCTCGAGACGTTGAACCAAACGTTGAACGAATACCAGGGTGGAGGAGGTGGGAGGGGGTTGAAAAGACACGCGAGGGAAACGAGTATCGCCAGAGCCCGGTAGAAAAACTAAGTTTCGCCCGGAGCCTGGTTCGTTTTTTTTTTTTTTTTTTGCAACGTCGGGTACAATCAGGAATTCTAAAGTTGGCGAATGTCTCTCCAGGCTCTAATAGCCGTACGTTCTCATAAAACTGTTTCTTTCCTCCCTCACCTCTTTCCCGTTGAGGATGAAGACGAGCCGGGCCGGAGGGTAGCTGGCCGCCGAGCTGCATTCCACTTCGAGCGTCTCGCCCGCCTCGTAAGAGGGTTGAAGGCCACGGAGGGTGGGTCGTTCCTTGGGGGGGATCGCCAAGCTCATGTTCGCCTCGCCGAAGATCGTGAGGAAATTCGGCCCCTCCGAGGACACCTCGCACCCGTACAACCCCACAAGGTTCACCTTCACTGTCGCGTGTAAATTGTTTCCAATTATTTTTGCAAGAAATGCTTCGATTTTTATTATTTTTCTCTCTTTTTTTTTTCGAATTAATCCTTAGATTTGGACGGTAATCATCTTTGGTCGAGCTATTATGAGAAATAGTATTGATATTATTATTATACGGATACAAGTAATGAATTTGAATAATTGCATATTCGTTTAAGTATTAGTTTGTAATTTGTAATACAAATTAATTTATTTATAAGTATAGTTTTTGTTGGATATATTTAAAGAAAAAAAGAAAAGAGATAAGAAATTTGAATAGTATGATATGATTTATTATTTAATGAGTAAAAAAATTGAAATAAATTTTCATCACTGATGTCGACTAGATTAAAGTGTACGTTTAATAAAACGTTTAAATTGGAAAAAAGAATATATTCTCATTCTTTTTTATCCCTGTTAATAAAATCTTAATCCACTGAATAATAATTAGAGAAGGTATTTAAAGTAAGTAAAGTATAAGTAAATTGAATGAAACTGTTATTATATCTGATTAATAATAATTTCGCTATCATCAAAATTAAATTCTTTTTCCATATTATAATATTTTCAGTTTACATTTTTATTAACCTTTAAGTAGAATATTTTCTTTAGAATTTTCACTAAAAAGAAAAAAAATTAATAATTCATTAAGCAATTATAATTATAAATTAATTTCAATCCACAACCCTCTTTGGAAGGTTATTCTAAAAAATGTTTAATATTTTATGATAACATTTGAAATATATATTTTTAATATATTGAAAAAAGAATCGTGCAATAATATTGATCTTTAAAGAATTAATTTTTAACGCATTTCACTCTTCATATTTTCTCTCTTTTACACGCCCTTCCAATTTTTCCCCGTTTCAAACAAAAATTTACTCACTCTTACCAACCCTCAAATTCGCACAAACAATATCTGGGCGAAATGAATCGCTCTTCAGCCATTCTTCATTCAGCACGAATCTCCAAAAAAAAACTTTTTGTTCAAATAAAGTTACCACGCTGCAAAACAAAGTCTGCTCTTTCACCGCTTGTAATATGCTCTAATTCCTTCCAGAAAAAAATGTTCAGAATCGTCGCAACGAAGACGATTCTAATGAAGAATTTAAACACGAATTTCGCGATTCTTCTCGCGAGATTTTGATTTAAAAAGCGTATAAATGGTTTTTCAATTTGTAGGTTTACCATTTCAAAGGAAGTCACTTCAAAAGATTAATTATTTCTAATTATTACTATTTTAATGAAGTATTAGTGTTTTAATGATTCTTGATAAATGAAAAAATATCGTTTGGGATAATTTATTATTTAAAAATTGAAAAGCATTGAAGTTCTATATATTAAACATGTATTTATTTCAATTATTTGCAATTAGTAATTCTTAACTATCTTAGAGTAAATTGATTTTCAAGAATCGTATGAATTTTAATGAATAATCAACAATGTGATCTACTCACGATACAATAATCTTTAAAACATTATAATTAATCAAAAATCTTTTTTTTTTAACCAAACGAAAAACTTCCATTTATAGAAACTTAAAAAAATATTCTTCGATGCAAACTTGCCTTCCCCCCCTTGCCTCCCAAAATTGATAATATTTCTAAAATTATGTAAAGAATCATCATGGATGAACAGAGTTGAAATCAAAAACAATAAGACTTATTCTCTCCCCTGAAAACTTATTTCAAAGATCATCGTTAATGAATTAACAAAGTTAGATCGGTTATTTTTAGAAGCCTCGAAGATTAGAAATTTTACGAAAGATGTGAAATAGCGTGGATCCCCATGGAACAGTGAAAAATGGGCGAAAATAGAAATTTAATAGGGGCCAACCTCGTTCACAAGAAGGAAAGTTCATTGATTATTTAAGCGAAATTTCTACCAGCCCGTTAACTTTCATCATTCTCTCGGTACAAGTTGGGAAAATCTCGCGGAGTTGTTGTTTCGATTTTAATTTGAAATTGGGAGAGAATCTTCAGGAATTTTTTTTTTTACAAATTTGAAAAAAATTCTTATCTTTTTATCTTTGTTTTTTATCTTTGGTATTTTCTTGTCTTGGGAGAAAGTTAAAATTAGTTAGATTAAGGTGAAGATAGAACGAAGAAGATAAGTTTGACAATGATTGAATTTTAACTTAAAATGTGTAAATTTATATAGTGTAGTTGGATGTAGAGACTTCTTTAGAAACTGTGATATATTTAAGGGGATGGTATTTTGAAAGAAAAGATGTATCATGAAGAGAAGAAGTTACTACTAAAGGAATATTATTCTGAAAATTCTAACATTCAAAACAAATCTTTATAAAAAATTAAATCTTCATAAAAATTTCTTGTTAAAAAAATCACAATATACTTCACAATAATCAGATAACTTCAAATAATCTTAAAAACGGAAAATGAATGAATTATTTTCAGTACTGATTACAAAAATAATTAAAAATCCTGCTCAAAAGTGCAAAACTAATACTAATACATCTCAAAAACACACATCTCCAGACTTCGTCACTCATTAATAATTTATCAAGCAGATTAAACCGCATAATTCGTCTGCAAATTGCACATCTTTCACATTTTTCTCAACATTTCCACTTAACTAACCTCCTCTCAGTTCACAAATCCATCTTAAAATTAAAATAAAACTCTCTCTTTCTCTCTCTCTCTCTCTCTTTCTTTCTCTCGTTTCTCTATGGACAATCGGACAATCACTCTCAAAATAATGTCCATTTGCAAAGAAAAAAATACTCTCAACTCCCGAAAGCTTTACTCTGAAAAAACACTCTCGATTCACACGATTTACGATTCGATCCTCGCGCACGACTCTCTCTCTGTCGACCTCGAACCCGCGTGAATCCTTCTCGAAGACCTCGCGATATCGCAGGCAAAACACCATCCACGTCGTGCACGCACGACCAACTATCGCTTAAATTGTGTAAAGAGAGGGAATCGAGGAATCTATACAAACCTCTCCGATTGTTCGCCTGTCCCAACAGCGTCACTTGTTTGCTATCGCTCTTGTTCACGTCCACGTACACCCCTTCCAGCTGGAAATCACGACCGGGCGGCCTCGAGCCGGGCATAAACCTGAAGAACTCCGCGCCATCCTTGTACCACTTCACGGAGTACAATTCCTCGCCGTCCAGATCGTACTCGCATCTCAGCGCCACTTTTTCCCACCTCGGGTCGGCTATACTCGGCACGTCTATCCTGCGGAGATGGATGGACGAGCCTGAAAAAAAGAAGATTTGTACATTTGTTTTTGGAATTAGTAGAGGCAAAATTTTTGAAATGGGGAAAGTTAAAAGTTGGAATTAGTGGCGGAGAGGCAATATCTTTTTGAAATCATGGACAAAAGTAGAGACAGACAGAGAGAGAGAGAGAGAGAGAGAGAGAGAGAGAGAGAGAGAGAGAGAGATATTTGGAAATAGGAAGAAATGGAATCGTGGAGTTTTTTCTTGGAATTAGTAATGGAGAGAAATGGAAGGAAAAAGAGGATTCTTTTGGAAGTAAAAGTGGGATATTAGTGATGGAAGATAAATCTTAGAATCCAGAATTTTATGACTCCAGTATATATGGTTGATATATCGTCGCATCGATCATTTTCTTTTGACATCGATGTCAGGAATATTATTCAAAAAACAAAAATTTAGTCCACCACAAGTTTAAACCATTATTTTACTTTTAAACCTAACTATCAATTTTGTCCAAACTTATATTACTTAATACACTGAATACCAATTACTTATTTCTTCATTCGATCTATTATATTTGGATTAAATTGAACCCTTAATTCTTTCACGTTCTTCCTACACAACTTTAAATGATTCAAAATTGCTCAAATTATATGAAAGAGAATTTCTGCAAGAGTATTAGATTGGATACACTTGGATACACACTGTTTTCAGATATATACGAAAAAAAAAGAAAAAAAAAAGGAAAAAAAGAGATTATCACACAAATCAACGAAGAATATTCAAAGCAAGCGAAAAGTCTTCTCGTTCATTTAACGAACGACAGCGTGAAAAATACGACAGAATTTGTCCAGTTGGCCTGTCGCGTAAACAAGCGTCGAAAAAGTTTACAGAGAAAGCTAGTCGAACTCCATTTGCCGGTCGACTGGGTGTGGAAAAAAAAATAGCAATTATTGGTGTAATGGGTAGGTGTTGAAAAAAAAAAAAAAAAAAAAAGAGAGAAACCTCGAATCCCTACAAGGGAGTAATTTCCTCTCCCTCCCGCCCCTTTTCATTCTCTCTCTACCAAACGAATGTTTTTAACACGGTCGCATTAATTTGTTTATCGCCGCTTCGTCGAGCAAGCGTGGCAAATAGCTGGCTAATTAAAAATATCCGATCCGGCCATGCGTTTGTATAATTATCGTCCTCGAAAATGCAATCGAACATTTTTCGAGTGGTTGTACGCCGTAAAACGGCAATATTTTCGCATGGAATCGATTGTGAAATTTGTATTCCTTTGTCGCGCCGTTTGATAAGTTTTCGCCGTATTCGAGAGAATATTTGATTGCTTAATTAGAGGGCGTTGATTTTGCGTTAATTTTTCAAGCACCGTTGAAAATTGCCGATTGGGGTGAGGTTCTAATTATTGTTATTATCGTATTCGATTTTTAGTACGAACATCTGCAAAAAAGGAAAACGTTAATTTGCAAAACGTCAAAATGTTTCTTATCGTTCCATCTAGAAAATTCAATTTTTTTTTTTTTGAATAAAAATCAATCCCGATCGATTTTTCTTCAGAAACACATTGAAAAATTTTTGCCATTGTTGTATATTGTACAATTTCTGCTTTTGTGATTTCGAATAAACGAAATAATCATCTTGTTAAAAAAGTTTTTACCAATTTTTCGCAACATATAAAAAAAAAAATGCGCAATGAAAGGAAACCAAAAATTCGAAACTGATAAAATTCTGCTAAAATTCCAAACCAACCGAATAGCCCTCATCAATCTCAACTCGGATCGTTCCCATCACCCCTCCCCCCTCCCCTTTTCCATCGAAGAAAGAATTCAGTGGCCAAAAAACGATATTCCTCGAGATCGTAATACTCGTTCCACGTCAAATCGCGAGCCAACTACGTGCCACTTAAAACAATAACCGGATCCGTCGTTCGCGTCAACGCAGTCGAAACGAGAGAGAGATAAAAAGAGAGAAAAAAAAGACAGAGAAAGAGAGAGAGAGAGAGATACACGTAGCAGCGCGTGAAGAGGAAGGGAGTGGAAGATGGCGATGGGGAATAGGGAATGGAGATGGCATCCGGTATTCGAGACACGAGCAAAAGCGGCGAAGTAGTAGAATTCGTGAATGATTTCCAGATCGTGCGAATTTGTCATGCGCTTGGCACACGAGTCGAACCGCGAACGGACACGATAAAACCGTGAACAAGCGGAATTATCCCCTTTCCAGGGGGTTGGTGGGGTGGAATCGGGACGAAACGATTGCGTGAAAGGCGTCGAAGGTAGGCGGCGTTCGAGCCATTAAACGGGGGAATGGCCGATTTATTGTTTCTGCCAGCGAATATTCATTTTTGAGATTGCGCGAAAGTTGTGAAAATGAGAATGGGTTGTTTGGGATCGGCGAGAAGAATTAGTTGGCAATGAGCGAAGTATTTTCGAATGATAAATGATTATTATACTGATAATAAGGATTTTGAAAACGAAATTTTGAATAGGATTGTGGAGGGGGAAAAGGAGGGATTTTCGTTCTTTTGTATATTTAAAATTTTCCTTTTTTATATTTCGTTATGAAATGAAATTGCGAAATATATTTTGAACGAAAGAATTTAGATGTTTCTTGCTATAAAAATATAATTTAAATTATGTCGTATGAAGTTTTGAAAATTATTTTTCATTTCAAACGTGATATATTTGGACAGATTTTTTTCTTTTTCCATTACGAGTTTCGTTTTCCCGTTTGGCAAATCTTTCAACAATCCATCAATAAGGAGGAAAATAAAATAGTTATTTGGAGGGAATAAAACGATCGTAAATCCGTGATTGTTCCACACGACTGCGATCTTTCGAACATTTCCACGGAACTGTTGAATCTCTTATAGCGTGAATCGCGAGAGATCTTTGCTCCCTGTTTACGAGTCGACGCGAATAGGTTTTATTTATTTTGAAACGGGAATTTTTCAAAGATTAGAAAAGTCAATATTAATTTTAAGAAGAAAATGTAATACGATAGAGAATAAAAGTTCGATATTAAGGGAAGAAAACTCTAAGAGATAAATAATATATTCGTGATGAGACACGTTTGAAAGATAGAAAACAAACGAATAAAAGAATGTTTGATTGTTTACTTAAAATTGTAATTTAAGTTTGCATCAGAAGTTTGCAAAAGTTCTAGATTTCACAGAATATTTCAATTAATCAAAGTTTCTAATTTTTCAAAATCTACTCAAAGGATAAAAATGTTGAAGAGGGACTTGGAGGAAAGAAATTTAATTCGCGGTTTATATTATGCATCTAAAAGTTGGCCGGGATCAAATCAGTCTGACACGTAGATTATTGCAAGGTTCAGAAGAAAAGTTAAACACAAAGATGTATTTTCTACGAGTTGCGGTAACTTTCGACTTCGAAAACTTTTCACGTCCACGGCAAAGCTTTACGAAACGTTTTCAGTCAAGTGCACCAATCTAAAACCGCGGCCACTCAACGTTGATTTTTCTTGAAAATCGAGGCTCGTCCAACGGTATCGTAACTTTGCATTCCTTGTTCTTTTTATTATATCTCTCGTCTTAAATATTGATAACGTTCGTTTAGAGAATATCTTTTAATTATTCATCGCCTCGATGAAAGTAAAATAACATTTGTTATGAATAATTTAATGAAATTTTCTGCAATATGATCAGCCTCTCGAATATCATAGATATAAATTATCTATATCGTGGATTAAGGAAATTATAAATTAAAATTATTATTCCAAGTATCGTAATTATTGTATAAAAAATAATCAAGTATCTATTTATTTGCTAGTTTAAAATTTTATTTTTATTTGTACAATGTCTTTCTCTAATGTAATAAAAGTGTTAAAAATTTAAAAATATAGATATATTTCGTTTTTTGGCTTCGCTTCTCTCAATTGTTTTCACGATATATTTTTTGAAGAAAATTCCTCTTACGAATTGTAAATTCGAGGTAGTTTTTTAATCCAACGTGATAAAAGTTTGAGAAGGTACTTTGCATTCACAAACGAGCTTCCTCCTCTTTTACTGATTGGAAGCAGCGCGCACGAAATAAAGCCGAACGTATTAAATATTTATTGACGAGGAAATCAGACATCTGTTGAAAAATAAATCGAACTGACCAGTTTCTCAAATATGAAATTAATTTCGTAGAGCTTAATAAAAGAAAGAAATCTTTTTCGTGATTATAAATTAAAATATCTCCTCCTAGATGATAATTAAAATTTTTTTTTTTATAAAAGTGTGAATCAGATAACGATTTTGTTGATTTGAATTTTCTTAAAAAATCTATTCTTTCTTATTTTAAACGTTGTAAGCAAATGAATTAAATAGTATTATAAGAATCACTCATTAATCGATTTCTTTTTTATATGGAATTTTATTGAGAATCAAATTTTTTTAATTTTCTTAATTTTCGAAATAAGTATTGAAATTTTCAAGAAATCATAACTCGATTTATAGCTCTTTTATTTCGTCATTCTCCCATTTATTTTAAGAATAAATATCAAAACATTTTTCTTGCATAATTAAATATCACGAATGATTTCACATGTCAATTCGCTTTTGTATCTCGTAAAAATAATAAAAGATTCATAACGCACATTATGATTGACATAATCCAAGAAAATCGCGTTCGCAAAATATCGGTTGATTCGAAGTGACAGGTGCATCCATTTTGTTTCGCCACAACGAATAATTGATCACAAGCTGTTGAATCAATAAACGTGTTGAACGTATATACGGAAATACAGTGTAGAGGTTAGTGTTTAAAAATTAATAACGTGACAAGTTAGATTGCTTTCCGCGAAGCATCATGATCGAGAGGTCCAGAGCGACCGATTTGTTCCATCTCATCGATATGTTCTATTTGCAACGACAGTTCTATGTGAAAATTGATGAAATATCTACGCGTTTTTTGATTTTCATTGAAAGATTCGATATCGTGTCATCTTTCTTTTGTACGACTCAAATTTTGTTAAAAATCAAATAAACTCAATCGTGTCGATAAACTTAATAAGATTTTCTACTTAA